CAAGCCACGTGCCCAAACTATGTGAGACAGAACTTCAAAATCTTAGATCCCAAAGAAAAAGTTGGTTTAACCCTCTCCAAGACAGACTTATTTTTTTGTTGTTGTTGTTGGCAGTCCATGTTCAAGACTCTTCTCCAGAAGCACAACTCAAAGGCATTGATTCCTCTCTGTCATCCTTAGTAATTGTCCAGCTCTCATGGATAGCAATAATTGCAAAGGTCAAGGTGTGGATTAGGCACACCTTAGTCTCTAGACTGACATCATTGCTTTTCAGCACTCTGGAGAGATACCTGACAGCCTATTTTCCCAGTGCAATTCGTCTTTTGATTTCCTGACTGCTGATGTTAATAGAGTTGATTGTCGAGCCAAGTAAGCTATAATTGTTGACAACTTCAATTTATTCTCCATCTATCATGGTGGTGCCAATTGGCCCAGTGGTGAGAATCTTTGTCTTCTTGATATTGAGCTTCAATCCATTTTGGAGAACACAGTCCTTCTGCAGCAAATGCTTAAGGTCTTCTTCAGTTTCAATAAGAAAGGTATTGTCATCTGCATAGCGTAGGTTGTTAATGGTTCTTCCACCAATCTTGATGCCATATTCCTCCTCATAAAGCCCTGCTTCCCGAATGATCCGTTCTACATACAGATTGAAAAGGCATGAAGACAGGAAGCATCCCTGACACACTTTTCCAATTTTGAACCATGCAGTGTTTCCCTGCTCTGTTCTGAGGTCTGCTTTCTGGTACAAATATAGTTTCACGTAAGCACAATCAAGTGTTTCCAATTTTCCTCAATGTGAGCCACAATATGTTGTGATCCACACAGTAAAACGCCAATAAAACTGATAGATATTCTTCTGGTTCTCTTTGCTTTCCGCCAAGATCCATCTGACATTGGCAATAATATCTCTAGTGCCACAACCTCTTCTAAACCTAGCTTATATTTCTCATAGTTCTCTGTCAATATAGTGTTTCAGTGTTTCTAGATAAACTTCAGCAGTATTTTACTAGTGTATTATATTAGTGACATTATTCAATAATTTCCATAATGTCAGGTCACTTTTTTTTGGAATGGGAATAAATATGGATCTCTTCCAGTCAGCTGGCCAAGGAGTTATCCTGCAGATTCTTAGCACAACTTACTTGGTGATCACATCCAGGGTAACATCTGTTTGCTGAAATACACTAATTGCCATCAATTCCTGGGGCTTTATTTTTTTGCCAAGTCCTTCAGAGCAGCCTGAACTTCCTCCATCACCATTGCCTCTTGATCATATGTTGTTTCTTGAAATTCTTCTGTGTCAGTCACTTCTTTTCGATACAATTACTCTGTATACTCCTTGCATCTTCTTTTAATGCTTCCTGAATCATTCAATAGTCTACCCAAAGCGTCCGTAAGCATAGCAATTCATGGCTTGAATTTGTTCTTTAGTTCCTTCAGCTTAAGAAATGCTGAGTAAGTTTGACCCTTTTTGGTTTTCTGACTGCAGTTCCTTGCGTATTTCATGATAATACTTTGTCTTGCCTCATCATGGACCGTAGGGACAGAATATTGCCTGATGAATAAGTCAACCCTAGTTAAAATTCATGGGCTCAAATTCTAACCTATCCCTTGTAGGAACTTGCCTCCCATTCCTCCTCTGTAAAATGGAGATGACCCTTCCATTTCATTGAGTTCATTGAGATAGTTCATTGAAAAAGGGCTTGGCACAGTTTCACTTGAGCTTCCCATTCTCCCAAGAAGGAAGCATAGCCCCATAAATATAGACAGGAAACCTGAAGTTCACAGTAAGAGAAAGAACCTGCCCACAGCTATGTAATAAGTGGTAGAACCAGGGCTCCAAGGCCACAAATCAGGCAGCAGCCAGGCCCTGAACACTGACAGAAGCGGATGGTCAAGTTATCCCAGTCACAGACCAGAAACCAGGAGAGCTGGAGGAGGGAGCCACAGGGCTAGGTCTGGAGGGGCTGCCTGTTTGGGGTGCTCACCTCCAGTTCTGCCTGAGTGCAGTCAATGGAGGGGACATCAGTCACCAAACGAGGTCACTGCTACAAGACTGAGCATCTCTGGCCACACAGGGCCAGGAGCTTTGGGGAGAGAGGAACCTCTAGGTCCTGGGTGTTGGCAACCTTCCCACTGTCCTCCAGTTCCTCTGAGAGCTGGCCTTGAAGTTCTGACCATTGCAGGGGGCCAGCAGTCCCAAGGATGACATCAAAAGGACCAAAATTGACAGCGGCCTGAGAGGAGACTGTTTCTACAGCAGCCGCACTGCCCTGCATTGCCTGGTGAGCTGGGGAAATGTAAGTAGAGTCTGGGAGCTTTCCCACCACTTGCCAAAGAAGTAGGAGCCAGCCTGGGAGAGAAGAATGAAGACAGAGCCAGAGCCAGCTGGCTGAGCTCGCAGCTGGAGCCGGATGTTCTCAGACCACAGGCCCTCCTGCCCAGGGCCATTGTGTGGTCTAACGACTCAGTCTACCTGTGTTCTCCCTTTGGGTAATACCTTCACAGGGTAGGGGCAGCATGGGAACCAAAGGGTGAGAAGGGTCTGTTGGTGCTGTAGCTTGTGTGGTGGAAAGAGGACAGACATGGCACTTTCATGTTGGGGGAACTTAAGACTCTTAGCCTCTCTGAGCCTCAGTTGCTACATCAGTAAAATGGGACAAGAAAAACCTAGAAAGAACGCAAAGCATCTGACACTGTCCCGGCTCACAGAACACTGGGAAAGAAAGGGAAGAAGATGGGAAGGGCAATGAAAATGAAGAGAGAGAGACACTAAACAGCTGCCCTCCCAGCAAAAGCCCAGGAAGAGCTCCCAGGCCCTGGGCAGGCCCCTCCCCCTGGAGATGTGGCCCAAGTCCTGGAGGAATCATTGCGTCACTGAATATTCAGGGATTAATGACGGGGAGTGGACAGACCCAGGTACTTAACTAATTGGGGAAGTGTCCTGGGATCAGAGGTGCCCAGCTCCTGGACCCTTGCTCACCCTCTTCCCCAGGATGAAGCTGCTTCCTGTTCTGACCTGCCTTTGTCTCCATGGTAAGTGACCCTTGTGACCTTCACCCTCATCAGACCCATCCTGGGATGTTTCTGGGCCAGCCTGACGAACGGGAGGGTACGGTGGGTACCCAGTGCAGGAGGCCATTCTCTTCTGCTATCAGGGTCATCTAGGGGCCCCATGACCCCACTGCCAGAGCGCAGAGGGGAGGGAGGGAGAGCAGACAGCCTGGGTGAGCTGGTGGGCATGGATAAGGGCTGGAAGGAGTCATGGACTACTTGGGTCATTTGCATTTCATCTCTCACCCCCACCCCTAGCTTCTATTTTTGTTCCAAATGAGCTGTATAGGGAGAGGAGGAGCTGGGGGTCTAGGTGGTTAGAAAGCACATCCAGATTATCTGATGAGATCTGAGAGACAGAGACAAGGCTGACCCTTTGGGAGCGATCAGGAGGTACATGGAAGGTGACGTTCTGGGCAGTGTGAGGACGCGGGGTGGGATGTGCTGACATGACTAATGTCACTAAGGGGATTGAGCGTGATGGGTGGCATTTGGAGGTTGTCTGGGCTAACTGGACATCTGGAGAGAAATCCAAAAACCAGATTCAAAGGGCATCAGAGGAAACTGGCTGCAGAGAGTGGGGCCTGAGGTGAGGGCTGACACCCACTGGTCCTGAGGTTTTGTTGATCTGGCTCTCCCTTCCACTCGCAGTGGCCCTGGCCTGCGGGGACTTTGTGCAGTTCGGAGAGATGATTGTGGCGATGACAAGGAAGACAGCGCTGCAATACAGTGACTATGGCTGCTACTGTGGCAGCTCTAACTGGCCTGTGGACCAGACAGACTGGTGAGGGGGCAACCTAGCAGGGAGGCCTCACTGGAGCGGGAGGAGCTGGGGAGCTCTGAGACACCCAGGAAGTGGGGGCTGAGCCTCTGACCTGAAAGCTCCTCAGAGCCTCTGGTTCCCTGGCAGCCCCCCGCCCTGCCTCTTCCTTGGCTCATGGTCCCCTTGGGTTGACTGTGACCCTCACAGGTGCTGCCATGCCCATGACTGCTGCTATGAGCGCCTGCAGAAGCTGGGCTGTGAACCCAAGCTGGAAAACTATCTGTTCTCTCTCAACGGACACAACATCTTCTGTGGTAGGTGAACAGCCCTGGAGTGGCCATTGTCCCACAAGTGCCCCCCTCATACAGCTAGGGGATAACTCAGAACTCTCTCCTAAGGGTCACCTTGGTCTCGTCAGGGTCAGCTCCTGGGCTTGTGGGTGGTTTTTCCCATCACTGTCGTGTGATTGTGGGGAGGCCTGTACACCTGGCCAGAAATGCACCTGGCCTTCAGCCCAGAAAGCCCCGCAGCTCCCATGCTTTCTCTCACCTAGCTCCAACCTCTACAGAGAGGAGCAGAGGGGGCTTAGCTGAGCAAAGCAGGGAGCAGCCAACAGGGAGGGCAGGACCAGAAGCATGAGGCACATCAGGAGGACAGGGAGGGCCACAGAAAACACAGCTCAGAAGTCTTAACATCTGTCCCTCCTGGGGGGAGGGACAGATGGGGCTGCAGAAGGCAGAGTCAGGACCAGAGCCACAGGATACAGGCTGGCCTCAGTTCTTTGCTCCCGGAGCATCTGCCCAGCAAGTCAGCTTTGTCGGGTAGTGAGTGCCCTGTCACCAGGGTTTATGCAATTCGAGGGTGGCCCTGATAGGGATGGCATTGAGAAGATGAAGGAAGTGAGGGGACACAAGGGTCTCCTCGGGACCTCCTCTACTAACCACTGTTTGACTTGGACAAATCACATATGCAACTTCTTCCTCGTGTATAAAATGAAGATAGCCATACTCACTTCCCCAGGTGAGTCCAGCCCCTGGGGAGAACTCCTAAGTGACGTTCACGGTCATGAGTGTTAAACACCATCCAGCCCTGACTGAGCTCTGCTGACATCGCAGGCATGGGTCTCACACTGACCAGAAATAGAGGTTGACCTTTGAAAGGGAATGATGAGCCCCATTCTGAACTATGTGAGGTCCTCAGGAACAAAAGGACCCAAGGCAGTGCGGACAGCCAAGCAGCTGCAGAGGGAGAAGGCAAGGAGCCACTGGGTCGGGTAAGCTGACCTCATGTCAGAGCGGAAGGTTGATGCCTATACCAAGCCTGAGGTCTCTAAGTTAAAGGTCCAGAAATAACGTCTGCCCATTCTAAATGAGGACAGGCAGACAGACCCAAAAGAATACAACCTTTGGTCTTGATGACTTCAGTCTGGGCACAGGCTGCTCTGGGACACACTCTCACCGTCTGGTAGTAAGTTGTTATTGGGTGGTTGTTTCTTTGCTTGATGGCCATACTCTCCCATCATCCACACATTGCACAAAAAACCCTTGGGTTGGGAGCAGTTGAGTGACAGTGGCCTGGATGGCTCTTCTGGGGCAGAACACAAAGGACTCCGAGGGGAAGGAGGGACAGTGAGGACTAACTTCCTGCCTCAGTGGGTATGAGCCCAGCAGGGCCCTGTCCGTCACCAGGCATCCACCAGAATGGGGTTGAGAAGGAGGGCCCAGGATAGCCAGTGGCTGTCACTTCCGTGTCTGAAAGCACTGAACCCCTGGTTCCCGACTCCCTGTGTCCCATGCAGCTGGCAGAACCGCATGTGAAAGACAGGCCTGTGATTGCGACAAGAAAGCTGCACTCTGCTTCCGCCACAACCTGGGCACCTACAACCTTACATACAACCATTACCCCGACAATCTGTGCACTGGACCCAGCCCACCCTGCTAAGCCTATGCAAACCTCATCCTGGGCCCTCTGAGGGTCCCACGGGGCTGCTGCAGACCCAAACCTGGAAAACATCAGCACCAAAAATAAAAAAGAACAAACCCCACCTTGTTCTCCTTCTCTGGAAAACACCTTTCCTGGAAACCCACCCATGCCCAGAGGCCTCCAGACCATGGCCTGGGGCACTGTCAACCTCCCAGTCACACTTTCTCCTTCGGAAAAGCCACTGGACACTTCAGCATCCAGAAGTTTCCATGATCCACATGTGGGATCTTAGTTCTCACTCTCGAACATGTATCCCCATAAATCTAACATTATTGAATTCCCAGATTCTACCATTCTAGGATTTAGTCTATAGTTTCACTCATTCATTCATTAAGTCATTTTTAAGCATCTATTATGATAGGACAAAGGTATGCCTAAATCACATTGTGATATTTTCAGTCACCACATATGCTTGTGAAAGCTGGACAAGAAATAAGGAAAATCAAAGAAGAATTGATGTTTTTCAATTTTGGTGGTGGAGAAGGATAAGGAACATATCATAGCCTTCCAGAGGAATAAGTCTGTCTTGAGAAAGTACAGGGGAAATGCTTCTTAGAAGCCAAGATGGTGGGACTAAGTCTCACACGCTTTGGTCATGTTCTCAAGAAGGATAAGGAGCTGGAGATGGATATCAAGCTTGGTCAAGGTCAGGAGAAAAAGAGAGACCCTCAAGGAGATGAGGACCGATACAGCGGCTGCACAACAAATGCAAGTATAGAATATCTGTGAGGATGGAAGACGACCAGGCAGTGTTTCACACCATCAGACAGAAGGTTCCCGTGAGTCAGAACAGCTCCCAACCAAAAGGATGCACCAGCAATGTCTAAGCACCAGGCCGCCGCGGGAACAAAGCAGACATGAAGGACCCTTGCCATGCAGTCCCAACACTCTGTCCTTCTAATAGACCCTCATTAAGTTTACAGAATATTTTCTTAAAGTTCTACAATTGCATCCAAGACAAATAATTGTAGTCTCTAGTACTACTTCTGGTCATGTGGCATTTATGAGAATTATAAAAATACCACCAAACTAAAAATATTTTTCCTACTGCATCATCTGGCCTTAACTCCCCATCATTCTCGAGTTGAATAGTGAAGAGAGACTCTTCGATTTTCATAAACAACCTTCCTTTGGACGAACAAACACACACAGGCCATAGAGAGGACGTTCTTGCCTGAGCAGGTACCTGACTCCAGTCATCCTCATCTGTGGGCACTCTGAATGGCTGTGTTAACCACACTCAACCACCATCTCAGTAAATGTGCCATCAACAGGGCAGGTGAGCTGTGCGGAGCTCCAGAGCCGGGTCAGAATTCAGTCAAGGGTGGGACTCAAATATTACCGGGCCCATCACCTGACTCTAGTGCCACAAAGGATTTACTGCAGGATCCCACCAGATAGAATACAGTCCACCCTGAAAGCAAACACATTTCAGCAGATCTTATGTCTAAATAGAATCTACTAGCTCTGGTGCCCTTAGTGGGTAAGGAACTACTAACCCAGAGGCAAGGAGTTCAAATCCACCAGATTCTCCTTGGAAGACAGATGACCATCTCCTCATGTGCAATTTCCAACCTCTGAAAGCCCCCTGAAGGATCAACTGTGAGTCGGTTCTAACTCCTTGGCACATGACAGTCTTCCCTGAAGAATCAGAGACAATCCTGCTGAGAGTCCCTGACAAAATGAGTGAAGAGTGTGAAAATGCATTACACAGGACAAAGCTCAGAGTGGGTATCGACTAATGTCCACTCCCTTCATTCTTTCCATGTCTGTGCAACATTTATGGCTTGGAGGGCTCAAGGAACAGGGAAAAAGTCAAAGGGCTGAAATATAAACTTTAGGTGATGTTCTGTGCTTAAAATAAAAAGAAAGGGGCAGGTATGTGAGCTTTGCTGTTGTAACTGACTCAGACCCTTGTTAAAGAATCAGGAGGCATGACCACAAAATACCAGGTAAAAAAGGAGTGCTGAGAGCACCATTCATTTGTTGGATAAAGTGGTCCTGTGGCGCCTTCTGGTGTCCATCTTAATCAGAGTACTGCCAATAGACTAAAGCAATGCGTTAGTGCTAAAAAGCTCCACAGTTCGAACCCACCCCGTTGCTCCATAGACCCCTCTGGCATCCTAGTGGTAAAGAGCTGCCCTGCCAAACCAAAGCCACACAGTTCTAATCTACCAGGTGATCCACGGAAAAAAGAGGGGCAATCTCCAACACACAGCCCCCCTTACAATTTACTGCCTCAAAAAACCCACAGGAGAATCAGCATAGTGCTCCATGGGAGAAAGATGGGCAGCCACCTTCTGTAAAGAGTTACAGCCTCGGAATCCCATGCAGGGTCACTATGAGTCAGCACCGACTTGATGGCTATGGTTTACCAGCAGATCGGTTGGCTTGGGGTCCATTGCTACTCATGGCGGATCCCCAAATGTGTCTGCATAGAGTGTTTCAGAAGCGCATCACCAGGCCTTCCTTCTGAGGCATCTCTGGATGCTCCATAACTCTCCAGCCGTCTGGTTAGAAGCTGAGTACTTCAACAACCTGTATCACTCAAAACCTAAATAAACTGAAACCTAGACTTCTCTCTCACAGTTAGGAAAGTTATGATGGGCCAGCAAAATAATCCTCTCTCATTTTTTAGTAAATAATAAATGTCAATAAATTGTCCAATGATGGTGCTGCTACAGAACTAGGAAGCACAGACAGAAGAAGTTGTCCTAGATGAGCTGCAGAAGATGATGTTCTGGGTGTAGTGATCTTGAAGTTGCACAACCATCTGACCAAGTGAGAACTGGAACGTAAGAGCAAGACCACCCCCAGGCCCACCGTGAGGCACAGTCACTAGGCTGCAAGGCTCCTGATTGTGGAACAGGCCTTACTCTTTGTTCTCCCTGTGCTCAATAAATGTTTGATGAATGAATAAACAGGTCTGTCTAAATTCTATCACATGTGTGTGCACGCACACGTGCACATGCATCTTTGTATGTACTATGTATTACAAACATTTGACTTCAAGTTGCAGGCTTAAGTAGACAAGAGAACAATAAATAAAAGAATCTTGATCTTGGAGTCAGAGGTTCCAGGTCTGGACCTTCGTCCTGCAATTGGGCAGCAGTGGGACTAAGGCTCTAACCCCAAACTCATGGTGTGGCTCATAGAGAGCAGCATGGAGCTTGTTAAAAAGCAAAACCCTGAACCCCTGTCCAGACTTTGAGAATCAGAGTCTTTATGTTAACAAGCAATCTGGGTGTTCCTCTAATGCTTATACAACACCTCTGTTGTTGTTGTTGTTATGTGCCATCGAGTCGTTTGCGACTCATAGCAACCCCATGTACAACAGCCCTAAACCCTGCTCTATCCTGTGCCAATCGCATTACCTCTGACACACCCATCCCGATTACCCCAGTCACTGAATCAATCCACCTCATAGAGGGTCTTCCCCACCTGCGCCATCCCTCTACTCTACCCAGCATGAGGTCCCTCTCCAAAGACCTCTCTCTCCTTACAACATGTCCAAAGTATGTCAGACGAAGCCCCAGAATCCTTGCCTCCAAGGAGTAGCCTGGTTTAACCCTCTCTAGGATGAGTCTGTTTCTTTTCTTGGCAGTCCATGATACATTCAATACTCTTCTCCAGCACCACAGCTCAAAGGCGTCAATTCTCCTTCTATACTCCCTAGTCATTGTCCAGCTCTCTGATGCATAACAAGTGATTGCAAAGACCATGGCCTGTATCAGGCACTCCTTAGTCTCCAGAGAGGCACCGTCGCTCTTGAGTACGTTAGAGAGGTCCCTAACAGGAGACTTTCCCATCGCAATACGTTTTTTTATTTCCTGGCTGCTGGTGCCAAGAGTTTTGACTGTGGAGCCGAGCAAACTGAAACTGTGAACAAGCTCGATCTCTTCACCATCCATCCTGATGCTACCAATTGGTCCAGTGGTGAGAATCTTTGTCTTCTTGACTTTGAGCCTCTGTCCATACTGAAGGCTGCAGTCCTTGACCCTCTGCAGTAAGTGCATGGGGTCCTCCTCAGTTTCAGCGAGCAAGGTTGTGTCATCTGCATAACGCAGGTTGTTGATAGATCTTCCACCAATCCTAACGCCACGCTTCTCCTCATAGAGCCCAGCCTCTCGGATAATCTGCTCTGCAGACAGGTTGAAAAGGTATGGAGATAGGTAGGACACATCCCTAGCGTACACCCTTCCCAATTTTGAACCATGCAGTGTTGCCCTGCTCTGTTCTGATGACTGCCTCTTGGTCCAAGTAGAACTATATAATTTTGTTTGGTTCAGCAAGGCTTACGTAAGCTAGTATATAACTTACTTAACACAAATGCAGCCCACCACATAATATCCACGTCCAGTGAAAGGTTGACAATTGTCAGGTCAGCTCCCACTTACGGTGTTACCAGTACCAATTGTCATCAAGTGAATTCTGACTCACAAGGTTTGCAATGACTGATTTCTCTGAAGTAGGTCACCAGGCATCTTCAAGAGCACTTTGTTTCAAAGTCCTTTTGGGTGGATTTGAGCCATCAACCTTTTAGTTAATATCTTTATTGTTTGTACCCTCAGAGACTCTGATGATAATAAACTGTTAACATTTTTTATTGTTAGGAAGCTGTGGTCGAATAATGGTAAGGAGGCGTGTGGTTTGAATCCACCAGCTGCCACTTTCCATGAAATTTAGTCTCTGAAAACCTGCTGGGATTGGTCCCAATGCAACGACAATGAGAGAGTGAGATCTAGGTCCAGATGTGTTATTAACTCATAGAATGAATGAGTGAGTGAATGAATGAAAGAGGCAAGGTGACTACATCATGACTGAGTAGGAAATTTTGTTGCCTAAATATTTCATACTTGACTCTCCAACTCTGATAATTGTTTTCAGGTTTTGTTCCCACTTAGCATTTGGGTTTAAGTCCGCTCAAAAACCTTGGCTTAAAACCCTGCAGGGCGAGT